CCGTAAACCGCTCCTTCCGCACAGGTCATCGACCAGCTTTCAACTGCGCCAGCATACTTGTGTAAATTCGAAATTCTTCATCGAATGTTTCCGTGAATGTCGCGGATTTTCGCGGAATACCCGGAACTCCGCGACAACATTCACGGAATTTTGCACATTCTGAGAGTGGTATTGTAAAGAATAGAGGCAGTTGTGCGATATGACTTCTGCAAGCAAAAGTGCTCACTAGTGTGGACCTTTTCGTAGCATGAGCAATGCAAAGGAAGAAAAACAGGCACATCAACCACTTCTAGTATATGAACTCAAAACATGAGCTTGAATTTGGTAGCTTTTTTTGCTGATTTGGTGCCAATAGCAGTGCGAACAATCTCATTGATCGAAAAAGCATGAATTAAAATCCGCATATTATTTTTTACTGTAGCAAGCAGTCGGAGGAATGCGACTTTCCGTACAGTTCAAAGGTGATCACGGTTGCAAAAAGATGTATTACCGAGTTTTGTGAAAAAACGCGGACGAAGTGGGCTTGATACTGAGCAAACTTAAATAATCTGAATACGGAGTTCATTCGAATACGAATTCGAATAACATTCGAATAAAACATTTGAATAAATCTATTCGAAACCCCGTTTTTTCAATTATTCGAGTTTCGAATATTATTCGAAAATGGAAGAATCCGAATATCGAATTTCGAACGCGAATATATTCGAATGTTCTGTTCAAATGATCAAATTCCTATTCCATTCGGACCCGAGTATATGCGCCAGCATTCGTTCTGCTTGCTTCATGCTTGGGATTACAATACGATGTCATCAGCAAAACGAACTGATGCAGTTGTTGGAAGTCGATTTCACTCCCAAGTCATCTCATTAAAGCGTATGCATGACTTCGATGAGGCTGGCGCTAAATAGCTTTGACGATATATAATAGTAGGTATTTACTTGTCGTACACTTTCCACTTTGATGATGATGTCTCATAGAATCTTCATGTGGTTGCAAATTTAAATACAAACTTTTTAATAAAGGCACGTGGTCCTTCCTCGTGCTCCACTTGCTTGCGCATGAGTATAAGATCAGTTTAGGGCCGCATGCACTAACATCTCCGCCGGATAGACGGTCGCAGCTCAAAAGAAAGCTTTATATCCTGCAGCTTTAGTTACCTGGAAACGGTGTCTATCCGTCCCTGAGTATTCCTACTATCCTTCACTATGAGCATGTTGAGTAGGAGCGAGAAGCTGTACAAATTGCAGTTTCCAGCTCTTTGTAGATGCCCTGATAACCACTGGCGGCCGACGGTCTTTGCCACAAAACCATTTTTCTTCCTTCGAAGCTAACGAAGACATTCCAAAGTTGTACTGATCATCGAAACAACAGTGCTAAGAATGTTGCTGATGGAAACAAATGAGTTTTTGGAATATCGAGTATTTCGATACATCCCAACTTTCGACTTGTGGTTCATCACAAATTTCATGACTTCAATACAGCACTTGTTCTAATAACATGCTTAGCACTGTTCGGTTGGATAATCAGTAAAACTTGGTAAGTTTCTATTGACTTTGAAAAAAGAAAAATGACGTTGAAGAAAAGACGGTAGACCGTCGGGGTATCATGACTGACATTATGTTTTTCAGGCATACCATATCTTATTTTATTGATGGATCTGGAGCTTCGTGTCTTGTTATCTACCATTTAGTTTTGTTTTCCTTAAGGCTGTGGAGTGGCTGCGCCCGTGAGCTGTTCGAATTTTTCTGATTTTTTTTTCTTCAGTGCATCTCGCTGCGTACTTATAAATCTTATATATAAAGCTGAATGTCTGTTTGTCTGTATGTCTGTCTCCTGTGTGTGTACGTATGTTCCGAATAGAAAATTCCATTTCTGAACCGATCCGGACCAAATTTGGCACCATACACTTCGGGGCCGGGCGGGTGTCATAGGCTACTTTTCGTTATCGATCTGGGAGTTGGCACAGGGGGGTAATCGAGCACGCTGATTACGACAATATTAGTTTTGAAATTATCCATTGCTTTTATCGATTTTTTCGATTTTTTTTGCAAAGTTTGAGCTACGGGGATGGGAGTTGGCACAGGTGGGTAATCGAGCACGCTGTTTACGACAATATTAGTTTTGAAATTATCCATTGCTTCTATCGATTCTATTGATTTTTGCAAAGTTTGACCTGCGGGGCTAGGAATTTGCACAGGGAGTAATTGAGCATGCTGATTACGAATATAATAATAGTTAGGCGCTATTCGGCTATCCGGGCCCCAAAATTTTTTTGTCGTAGAACTTGCTCAGACTTCGTGTATAAGGATTATCCTACATGCTGATTACAGATATCACACTTTCTTCGCAGAACGTCTCCCGTGTGGTTACGATAGGTGTACGGTAGGAAGTCAAAATCATGAATTCGGCTGGAGTTCGGTCCAGAACTTACCCGACATGCTGATTACGAATTTCATACTCTCTCTGCGTACTGGGACCTTTTCATAAAGTTATGGTGGTTATACGGTATGGGATCGAAAACATAGATTTGCTTTAAACTTCGTCTAGGGTGGTCATTCAGCGCGCTGAACATGAATATCGTGCTGATTTCGCAGGATAGCGCATTTTCTTGGGTTACAGTGGGTGTGCAGTAGATGGGTCGAAGTTCCAGATTTGCTCAAAACCTTACCTGTAACGGTTCACAAGCATACTGCTTATGAATATGATGCTCGCTGTCATAACGCATTATTGTGAAGTTATGGTGAGTTGCAGGGTTTGAATGGACATTTTTTCGCTTGCGGGCCAATTTAGATCCCAGATCTTCACGAAATGGGGAAACGGTCATTTTGCATGTCTCTAGCGCCATCTTAATAATCTGTCCCAAAGCGTAACGCACGCGGCAAATCTCCCTCCCCTGTTTTTGCTTGGGCAAAAGCCGCCGAAGGTTGTATCGCGCGCGGCAGTGGTCCTATAAGGAAAGCATTACGGTTGTGGGAAACTTTTATACCATACAAATTGCCTTTATCGTAAGGATTAAGCACGATATTCTTGAAACAGCACTTTAGGTAATTCCCTGCCAAGGTTTCAGGCAGGTCCATGATTTTTACCCACTGCCACGCGAAACGACTACGATATTTGTCATTAGCGGCTCAAATGACCCCCATATACCGAGTTGAGCAAGATCTGTCTCAAAAACATTTTGGGGTCCGGATAGCCGAATAGCGCCATCAGTTTTTAGAATTACCCTTACTTTTATCGATTTTATTGATTTTTTGCAAAGTTTAAGCTACGGGGCTGGGGGTTGTGAGGGAGGTAGGTGAGCAAGCTGATCTAACACAGCGGGAATAGGGATTTGCATGTAGAAGTGTGCACAGGGAAGGGTTCTACAGGGATAGGAATGGGACCTTTATCGTTTTTGACAGAGCCGGGCGGAGCCGGGTAAGCCAGCTAGTGAATAAATAAATAAGTCATCAAGGGATCACATAAAAAACTAGAAAATGCAGTCTGTATAGCTTATCGCTCCTGTTCAATACATTCAAAATGAAGGATAGTAGAAAAACTGCGAAGAGGTAGGCAATGCGAAATCCAGATATCTGGAGCTTTAGAATATGAAGCTTTATTTTGAGTTACGATCCCCTCCTTGCGGGTATGTTGGTGCATGCGACCCTTAGTCAGCAACTAGCTCCTTGTTCGCCACCTGGGCACTCCCTACAGTGACCGGAGGACTTTCGCGACCTTTGCGGAAGCAGTGTAAAGACCAAGCGAGGCGGTCGCACAAGATCAAGCTGCTCGAGTCGGGTTCATTCCAAATGAAATACGTTATGCGCTGCAGAGCCAGCAACTGAAATGAGAGGAGCGTTTTTGCATTTTAGGCGTGCGCAATTGCATTTTCAAAGTTACCCGCATTTACGGAGTTGATTTGGGGAAGAGTTGAAACTACATAAGGCGTGATCTTCATTTTGTTGCTGGAGAGGAATATTCGCTCGAAGTTGTGGAACTCACTGCATAATTATTAAATGTTGGGCCACTCCTATCATCCTGTGTACATCTGCGTGACTCCTCTGCCTCCTCACAAGTGCTTCACTTTTTTAGTCCCGACATCGATAAATACTACTGTAGTCGTAAATCCCGTTTAGGTTTCATCCAAAAAGAAGCTCCAGACCAATGTGACACTTTTTATCACAATCTGCTTTTCATGCCTTCAAAGGTGCCGAGCACCTCTCTAGACGGCTAAAAAGGTAAGTGATACAAATTTAAATCGTGACTTTCTAGGCATCAAAATAGTCCCGTAAACGAACTTTAGAGCCAGGAAAGTTTGTTAAGAGGGTAGCTAGCTTCTTTGGTTCTTTATTGCAAGTTTCGGACTTTATAGGCAATTTGCTAGATCTGAAGGTAGCACAAGTGAATTTAATTAGTTAATCAAGTCATTTTCAATAAGCATATCATTGTTGCCGTCATGCATAAAACAGCTACTCAAAAAGCTACTGAAATATCGAAAGGTAACATATACCTTCTACAAAACATTAAAAGAGAATATGGGTTTGTTCGGAAACAAGACAGTATTTATTCTTCCCATACAGTTTCGACGTAATGCTCACCTTGATGTTTTCTTGTATCCAGTCAACGTTCAACAAAAAAAGCTTGTAGATTATTTGCAAAGGAAGTTGCAGGGAGGGTCATGTACAACGTTCCCTTTGGCAGCTTGCTTCCGTAGACCAACAACGTGTGACTTTTATCAACTTTGATGGAGTGGTCTTATCTGTGACAGGAACTGATGAAAGGCAGTAATTTATAAGATGGTTCTACGCGTTCTTTTTTACGTGCGTGCAAAATTTCAGTTTTCAAGCATCTCTTCAAAGCAAGATATAAGCGGCTTTATGATTTTACAGATCAAACAATGCCCCTAATTTGGATAGAAAGGACCGCTTGCCGCGTATCAGTCGTGAAAAAAATCGGGACTGTGACTTGTTGGCCCTTGCTGAAGGCAATATACAGACCCACGTAAAAATTTTATGCCTTACCGTATGATTTGCACTCCGTTTGGAGAAGCAAATCTCAACAAGCCCAGGTAGATTGTAGAACTGAAAATAGCCTACAATCAAATATCACTTTGCATCTCGAACCACCTCGGCCTCCCTCTGAAGACATTCTAGAGAGTAGTCGTCTTTGGGAAGCACAACGTAGTTCCCATCTCTCAAGTAGTCGAGCACCTCAAAAAATGCAACTGTAGTGTTTATTAAGCAGACATAAAATTGACGCACTTTTCCAAAGTGAGTCGGATTTCTGTCAATGAATAGTTCATCTTGTTGCCAGCGATTAGCAACCAAAGCAGAGAACATCTGAAATTTGCATTGATAAGAGGAAAACAAGAGAAAACATATAAACTTACACTATCATCAAACCTTTTGAGGGTGGAAAGTGAAGCTTCGAAAACGCTACCACCGATATTTATTTTCACACGCCCTCCATGAGGCTGACCTTCAGCCTAAAAAGCTCATGGTGACAAAAATTTTTTATACTGCTGTGATTTTATAGGCCGAGTGATAATAAACTGTTTGTTCTAAAATTTTGAGAAATTTGAATCTCTATTGTTAGCAAGTACAAACCAGAATTATCCACAAATGCGGGACCGCCAAAATGAAAAAAAAATGAGATTTGAATTATTTTAACAGTCACTGAACAGACAAATGGCAATTTTGCGAAGAGCTAATATCATCACTCAGAAAAGAAAGGGCAAAGGTGAAGCAAATTTTACTCACACATTGCACAGGCGCGTATTATAGATGACTATAGGCGGCATATTCCTTGATATGATGTACAAAACTTTGAATGCTTCATAAACAAAACACTCTTTGATCTTCCTTCACTTAAACATTCAAATAAAACGTGTGTCATCAATACTCTTGCTCGGTCTTCGCACATTGTTTTCAATCTGCATTGACTCACTGCAAGAGCGAAATGGTGATCTATGATTTCTTTCATGATTTGCCGTCAGGGTTCAAAGGAGAAGTGATAAGATCAGCCGAAACAAAAAAAAACTCAAAAAATATAAATTTGCAAACAAATTGTAGTGAGGTGGGAGTTATTCAAATTTTCGGTAGTAGTCTAGGCATTTGCAGGATACGCTAAACTTACATTGTTCGAATGGTCGCCATAGGCGCTTGCGTCGATATTCATCTTTCGTCGTTTTGTCTGTAATTCCGCTTGACGACTGTGTGTCTGAATTAAACTCGCTTAGAAAACCATAAGCAAACGACATGTGACGTATTCCGCGAGAAATGACTTTGACATCCAAGAAGAAGTTTCTGCTTTCACAAAAGCGAAAACTGGACGTGAGTGTCACTTCTGAAAAGGCTATGTTTTGAAAAAACACCATTTCCAGCATCTGGGCGGAGTAGTTTTTCGCAAACGGAAAGCGTTGATGCAAACACTTACGCGTCTAGCGATTAGATAAGTGAATCATGGCCATTTTCTTTCCCTATCGCTATCACTGTTCTGCTGGTACTGTAATGTAGGGCTTGGCACGAGGTAGCTTTCCGAAAATGCAAAATACGAAGTCTCCTTGACTTTTCCAAAATTTAGCGAAGTCCCTTTTGACCCTTTACAACTTGAAAAACCCTAAGAAAACGAGGCTTTGACTAACAAACGCCACATAAGTTGTGTTTTTCGGCTTCAACAACGATATCCCCTCTGCTTTTTGCCCAAAAGCGATACCTAGCTTAATTATATAACCAATGTCGAGCTCTGCTGTAGTGCTATAAAATACAGATCAAAACTAGTTTGATCTTCTTCAACGACCGTTGCTGTGTTAAATGCTGTTAACTGCATCCTATTAACTACGAAAGTACCTGCCGAAAAACGTACTTCCCTTTTGAAATCTTTATCCCATGTAGAAGTCAATACGTTTCCATGAGAGCAGAAGTTTCATGGTATGCAGATGGAAAAGTATTTGGGTACGATTATAAAACCATGTTAGACATGAGTAACTTGTCGGCGATTAATACATATGAAAGATACAGTCGTCGCCGATACTGGCGATTGGCGATTGCCAGTTTTGGCGACTACACGTTGGATAGGTATTGATTGGACGTGTAAGCTCATGCCAGCAATCGATAGCTATTTAATTTGCAGTCGCCAACATTAGCGACTGGCGATCGCCCGTCGCCATGCTAAACTCCTCGAGGAGTATAGCGCCTGCCTAAGCGGCCCTAACTCATCATAATCCCATTCAATTCACTTCTTATCCAATAAGCTTCACCAAGATCGGAGTAGCTAGAGTACACTCGTTGCAGCTTCCAGAAGTTCTCATCAAGATCTCGTAAAGTTACTTTTTAAATAGTTAAAAAAGAATATAAACTCTATCTATCTCTCTAGTTTTTGACATAGAAAATCAAATACCGAACGCAGGCTACAACTACGCGTTAATAAGGTCAGCCGCATCTCATTAAAATTAATCTTCGAGCAAGGTCAGCCAAATCTCACTGAAGTTAACCTTTGAAAAACATCGCTACTAACATCAAGCACTTTTTGGAAGTGATATTGATGCGTACGTCGAGTAGAGAAACGGTTCATTTTTTCTTCGTTCACACTTGCGATGAATGTAAGCCGAGTAAAACTCAGTCCTTGAAGAAGGACAACGGATTAGACATTACTAGGAGATTTTGAATTGCCGCTGCTTGTGCTGTTTGTGCTTTCTTTTTACATCTATTTCTGCTCCATAAGAACGTAACTACTTTCTTCAACGGTGGAAACATATGACTAGGGTCAAGAAAAACGTGTGACATAGGACACCTAAGCTCAACCTCTTTCCTGAGGTACACCAAATATTGCGAACTAATAGTTTTTTCGGTACTACTCCAGTGACTCTTTCAGGACCAAATGTTATTTTTAACCGTTTTTTCGCTTTCCCCTTCACATTCAACTCTGGAATCTCACGAGGGGTGTCAAGTCTCAGAGCCGTTTATGTAACGGATACATTTGTCTGATATGCTAATACTTAACACTGCTTTATCTGAGCTCTGGAAAGACTTTAACAATTGATCTTGTCTAAATTCTGCACTTATTTTTCGTTCCAAAAACAGTCATAACTTGGCGTTTAGAGGAGCTTGGCAGATAATGAAGGCAGATCTGAAGCCATCCTTCAGTGCTCTTCAAAGTGATATGGGTGTGAAAATGCCACTTCGACTAGAGACGCTTTCCTTGTTAGTTATAAATTTCAGGCTCAGAGCCAGCAGTGGTCTTACTTGTGGGTAGGGGAATGTACAGATTGACTGTAAGGAAAAGGCGACTTTGCGGAATTGATTTCAGAAATTCGGCCATATCGTCACAGGTGATCGGACCACAAGATCCGGTAAGCAAACATTGAGGGGCTCGTTAGCTACCACCAATTATTTGTTTACTTTTTCCATAGTGTGATAATGGGCCAAAAACACTCTTCATGATTTCTCTGAATTGGTGCTGATCAAAATATTTGGCAATAGAATGCCTGTCAAATAGATTCACCCTACTCCTGTGGAATGATCTTGCTCTCAAGTTTCTGCACATCTGAAAGTTTGAGTTACCTAGACTAGTTGTTTCACGGGCCAATAACTTACAAAAGCTTCCCTTGGAGTGATTTAGCAAAGAAGTAATGATTGAGTAGAGCAGATGTGAAGTAGGAGCAGTGCCCGGTACGAATCGGTTTCTAGGGTTTCTAAAAACGAAGTCTCTCCCGAATTTCAGAAAATTTACGAAGTCTCCTTTGACCTACTTAGGAGAAGATGAAAACGGGAGTTTTACTAATCTGAAAGAAAAAACGTGAAATAAGTGTGAAATCCGGATTGGAGCTGAATACTACGCATGCACAAGAGTTTGGCATTGAAGCGCGATATTTATCAAAGCGATTCATGAAGAGATTGAAGCAAAAAAAAAACAAGGGAAAGGGAATGATATGAAAATGTCTTTATGCTCAGGGATAGATTTTGACCGGGGAAGCCGTCCATGTTAGAAAAATCCAAAACTTATGTGAAGTGACAAAAATATATGCTCCAGACGATCTCAGATCGTCTGGTGACCGTCTGGAGACGATCTAAATTTGGAAAAGGTATTCCTTCACAAGTTTCCAAAACTTTTTACATCTTCCTCAAATAATTTTCTATGCATACAGTTCAACTTTGATGTCGTATGATTCTGTGTGTGCTACAAACAAGCAACTTGTTTATTTTAGTCTTGCATTCAAATCGCGCGCACTTCTCGCCATACGATAGAGCATGTCAATCGTGTGATAACCTGTTCGAAAAGTTTGTGTACGACTAAATGGCGCTTTCTTGATGTTCGGCACCGAATCGTCATAGACGATATCTCCTTTGCTTTTTGCTTCAAAAACGAAGTCTAGCCTGCTTCCACACAATCTGTGCCGGACCCTGAGTAGGAGCAGTCCATAGTACAACTGTCCATTGTGCGACCATTTTGAGAATGGAAAGTAAGCAGAGTGTTTTTTTTTTTGTTGACATCATTTACTCAATGATACCGATAAAATAAGGCAGTCAGAAGTCAGTTCAAAGTCTTGTCTAAGTTATACATCCCACTGTTACCGCTGTTCCTGCTTTTACATGATTGACCGAATAACAGATAACAGATGAGAACTCGCATGATTTATTAAAATTGTGGTGTAAATCATTCCAACATTCAATAGCAGCACCAGGGATAACGGTTTTATCAGCAGTAACGGTAACACCAATAAGTTTCATGTACATAGCCGAACCCTTAATCTTGTATGCCATGTTCTAGTGTAGTAACATCAATAATCACTCAAATCGTAGCGAATAAGATGAAAAGTAAGCGCGAGAACAATAAGTAGATTTAACAACGATGAAATAAACCTGGTTTTTCACTTTTCTCGCTGCCATAGTGCCAGAAATTCTAGCAAAATGTTGCCATTGAAAAAAAACTATGAAAACTTTCAGAACACATTCACATTCTTGCTTTTATTGGGTAATGAGACGCTCAAAACTCTGAAAAGTGGTGATAAATTTTTGCGGTATTTGGATGAATTTTTGAATTCCAAATTCTCAAATAAAGATGAACTTTGAGTTTTTTTGATGTTTTGAATCTTTGATCGCTGCCGAACTTTTTTGAGGCCAGTTTTTGAAAAAAAAAGAAAAAAGAATTGTACCTAATGGAGTCAAGGGTACGGCTCAAAAGTTGTTGGAATAGTTTGAAAACACTACCAAACTTTCGCAGTTTACGTATTTTGATACTTCTAGAAAAATATGGTGTTCGCTTAGCCTATAAACCTGAAGATATGAAGAAGATAGTGCTACTTGATGTTTAAATTAAAGAAAAAAGGTAAGCAGTTGTATAAAAGAAGTTTAGCACTCATTTTCTTACGCTATAACTAAGTGTACCCACTTCGATTTTCTTCAAAAGATCGGAGTATCTAATAAATAACTTAACACTTTTCTGGTTTCTTCATTAAATGCAGCACTTTACTCAAATTTCAGTGAAGCAAATGGTTTAAAAGAGCTATAGTTCACTTTACAACGACCCAATTTTTTCTCTTTGTTCAAGCTTATCTTCAGCTTTGTACAGCGACTTAAAGGCAGCGTCCAGGCAAGTCTGGACTTATGGGGATTTTACGTGAAAAGTAGCTTTGGGGCCCTAACCAAAATACTGTCCAACCGGCAGCGCAGGTAGTGCTCTAACGGCTGAGATATTCCCCTCGAAACTGGACCCCGCGACCGTATTTCGTATGGATTCATGGCGCAAAGCGTGGATCCTGGCGCGGAACTGCCATGTATTCATGCGAATACGATCGCGGGGTCCAGTTTCGAGGGGAATATCTCAGCCGTTAGAGCACTACCTGCGCTGCCGCTTAGGCAGTGCCTTATTTAGGGCCCCAAAAGTACTTTCCACGTGAAATCCCCATAGGTCCAGATTTGCCTGGACACTGCCTTTAAGATCTCTTGGCCTTATCTTAGTGTACTAGAAAGCTTTCTGGTATGTTAAGCCGCGTATTAGGTCACTAGTTCTTTTCGATTTTGTGACCTACCCACAGATTCCGAAAATTCAGAATTTTTGCAAATCAGTAAATATTTTGTAATCTTCGGCTTGGTTCCTAACATTCTAGTCATCATTCGATGCAATCTTCTTTCCCATTTCTGATAATCGGTCTTTCTTTCCGTGTGCAATTCAAGACAGAATTGTTTCAGTTTTAGAAATTCGACTTTGCACCCTAACTTTCAAAATTTCCATGAACTGAAGCGTTGACCACTCAATTTATAGCGTTCATGACAGCGATGGTCGAGTTTTGGGACCTCAATATTTGAGATTCCACAGTGTGGTGCAAATATATGTTATGCGATTCTCTCAAAGATCATGACTTTTGAAAATTTTTGGGAACATTTCAAAAAGTTAGGAAAAAGATTTGCTCTATCTCCTGGCTATTAAAGCTCCTTCTAACGGTCTTGAAAATTCAAAAATCAAGCTTGTATCAAAAATAATAATAATGGATTTTGAACCCCCGCAACTACCTTGGCGATCGGCGATTGATCGCGAACACAGTCACGGGCAAGGAGAAGAGATTTTGCATTAGATGCTATTTAAGGTATATGTTTACGTTCACTCCAAGGTATTTGCGGGTAAATGCAAAAAATGCAAAAGATGGCAATTATTTTAGCGCTCATTTGATGTCGCATCGATAACATATGGAGGGAGCAAGGAATTGGCACTGACAACTGCTTGGGATGTTTGTTTGTCTCTACCCTACGGGTTTGCGGTTAGGTACAAAGACCGGGGAACCTGCACCAACCTAAAACCTTTCAATTACTACCCAAATCTCCCTATGTTTTCGGGTTACCAATATCGCGCTCTACTTAGCAAGAAGGGAACAGTCAATGCAGCAGTAGCGGATTAGCGGCATTCAGAAGATCTTTGTAAATTGTCTACATGAGCGATAAAGTTGTGCAAGTGATTTTCTGATTTTTTTTGTATTGGAACCCTTCTAAAATTTGTACAGTCTATATGCTTTATGGATAAATGTTTTCTAAAGAAGTGGCTGGCTTTAATAATTTGGGATAAAAGCCAAAAATATGAGGGACATTCCGAAAGCAATTTTTGAAGGACTTAGCTAACCCCGTGCTCCAAGAATTTTTCCACAGTTAATGGTATACGAAGGCGTCTATGCATGAGACCTTTTTGAGTCAGTAGACTAATTTTTCAGAATAAGCAGCACTCGAGTAAGCGTGATTGCGCGAATCTCGTAAATAGGCTTATGCATAGTACAGTTGAAATACATTCCCACTGATTCAACTGGATTCGCGGCTGGAACTCGGGGCTTGGTGACCTGGTTAAGGCTAGAGAGTGACCAGAGATTACGAGCGCGAGAGAGACGCCGACAGCGTCGCCTTGCGAGCGGTCTCCTTCCAGCCGCCAATCCGGTTGGATCAAAGATTAGTACAGGTACCATTCCATAGTTCGATATCTGCCACGAAAACACATGCGATGAATTTACGCTAGGAAAATCGTAGGCAAGATATAGTACGAGTCTTTCAGTCTGTCCAAAGTCCAGATTCTGCCATTTCGGACAGGAGCATAGCGGATGGTCAAAATTTGACCCATCAATGGTTTGTACTGCACGAAAGAAATAGTCGACCAAAAATTGCTTATGCAATGTTAATACATCAGCAGAATGATAACTATAAGAGCTGCCACAAATGTTTTACATAATATGATCAATTCCAGTAAGTTTTTGAGAGATGCACATATAAAAACTGCTCAAAAGCATGAAAGTGTTAATAAGTTATTGCCTATCAGTAAGGCAAAACATCTTTGTTAAAGTGAATTTTCATGCTGTGTCGAAATGCGAGTGCTAAATTTTCCTGCTTATTTCAGACTGCGAACCTAAAATCACATGCACCTATTTGAATTCTAGATTTTCGTTGTTTGCTGTAAGTCCAAGTTAGCTCAGTGGTTTTAACCGTTTCACTACGTCGTACTGCATTCGAGAGGTTTATTTAGTTGTTCAACTTCACTAGTTTACATTTTTCGAAGAATTTACGTTTTTGCGATGACTGACTGCACAGTTTTCCAAAAAATGCTTCCAACTTTGTTTGCGTAGATGTGAGTACAGTTCCAAGGTTTCTCACTATTAGCTGATAACATTCCACTGAGGCCACTAGTTGAATCGAGTTGAATTCTCTTTTTTTGTATTATAGCACAGCATGAGCAGAAATTAGGTTAAGCCTTGCTGACGGATAATGTAAACAACAGAAAACTATCGAATTTCAATCAAACGTAGTGCAGTTTTAGGAAGATGAGTTGCTTGATGATCATTCCATTCAACAATGCAGCAGGTGCTATCAATCTGTAAGATCTCGCATAAACGGAAATTTCTAGGTGTCAACGTAGTACGGATTACCCTCGACACGGATCCAGTCGTGGATTTTATTTCGCTCATAGGAAGGGTTTGCCCAAGCGGCACTCCATACGTCACATCCACAACACCTTTTTCGATACCGATATATGTTGTCATTAGATAACTGGGGTGGTAAGCGGGGTGTACGGTAAAATCGCAAATCTTGCACTGATTTATGGTCCGTCCATTGTAACTATAAAACCTGATTTCGATTAAGGGAGGATAGAGAGGATTATGTTGCATGATGGATTGCAGATGATTGTGGGTCCAAGCTTGCAAACATACATCAAAGCCATATTTTACCTTTTCTCTACATTCAGTAAGCAGTATTCTTCAATCACGCCTTCCACCAACTGTACTTTATCAAAGGGTTTGAACATGCACTTTAGAAGACCAGGCAGATTATAAAACTGCAACTCAAAAATTGAGAATCGACTTCACAAAGTTTCGGAAATTCACCTCAGCTTCCCTTCGCAATTTTGCCTGGGAATGCCTATCTACAGGAACCGCGGAGATCTTGCCATACCTTAGGTAATCCATCACCTTAAATGTTGATTTGGCTGATGGTCTCCGAAAGAACACCAACTTGAGAATACCATAGGGAAAAGCTCCGACTCCCTGTCGAAGAAGAGTTCCTCTTGTCCTTGCCGACGGTTAGCGAGCATTGCCGAGAACACCTTATGGGAAGAAGTTCGAAAGAAGCCGATTTACAAGAAAGCGAAAGTGACTCACACTATCCTTGTGTTTTGTGAGAGTTGAAAGGAGGGTTTCAAAAACAGTTCCGCCAACGTTAATCTTTACGCGGGATGATCTATTGGACGAATTGTCGAGTTTATCCTGGAAGCTCAATGGTCAGGCAAAATCTACGAGAAATTCCACTCTTTGGGAAACCAAAAATCAAAGTGAACATTGCTTGCTTGAGTGAATTCGACATTGAAGTAATTCTCAGTGCACAACAATGCTTTTCTGAGGATCACAATTGTGTAAAGTGAACAGTCAGAATACAAGCTCTACATCACGCGAAACTCTGCTCAGAAAGCTGAACTATTTTTGCTTGAGCGTTAGAGGTTATGGTAAATTCACATGAGTAACATCACTGTAGAGTGCGCAAAAGGCATTTCTTGTGGGAAGGTTACAGTATCCAAGACCTTTCTAGTCACAAATCTGAAGCGATACATGATCAATTCAGGCACTCAAAGTCAGTCTAGAAGATGCCCTATCGTGCAAGATATAGCTTAAAAAAGAATGATTGCAATTGAAGGTAATTGCATTGCTGACAACATTTGAAGGCAGTGTCCGGGCAAAAACTAGGAACTTCCAAAAAATACACTTACAGGGGCAACGTTGAATCCGAACCACATTAAAAGACGCGAAAACAGTAAGAACATGCGTTTTTCCAAGCCTTGCAATTCAAAATTCAACGTTCCCCACCAAAGGCAGAGACGCAAAGCTGCTGCGGGACCCCACATTTTAACTGTGGCAGCATGCGTACTCTGCCGCATAGGGTCGTTTCATACTGCCGCACTGACTGCAGCAGTCTGCAGCTGACTGCAGCTGACCGCACTGACCGCAACGGCCGTACAGACGCTGCATGCTTTCGTAAAAGAGAAAACAATTGCGATTATGTCAAAACACCGTGATTTACGCCTAGGAAGTTCATATATTCTCGCTTACTCTTTTCAATCAAATTTTGGCGATTGTTCATTGGTATGCTTATATTTGTTCTGATTTTCCCTTTATTGCATATACCTCTACTTTCGTTCTTGTTGTCTTTTGGATCTAATCATATATTGTTGTTGATTGTTTGGGCTACGAATATTTATCCTCTCCATCTTCACTTAAGAATACAGCGATCTTCGCGGCCCTTGCGGTCAGTGCGGTCATGCAGTCTGTCGCAGTCTGCTGCAGTCTGCTGCAGTCAGCTGCAGTCATCTGCGGTCAGTGCGGTCAGCTGCAGTCAGCTGCGGTCTGCTGCAGTCAGAGCGGCAGTCTGAAACAACCCATAGTAGGAATTCGAACAGCTCAGAGGACTCCGCCCCAAGGTGTAAGGTTCCCACTTTCCGATCGTTTTTCTTGCTTTAGGTCGAGCGTTATGACGTCGCACTTGCACGATGTTGTGTTAAATGGGCCACTCTCGCATGGTACTGAAATCCCAAAACCCCATCTTGCCTGGACACTGCTTTAAGCGTAGACACTCACCCCCGCTCCGAGGTCACTCAGGTGCGGTCGCAATTAAGTTGCTTAGTAGCCAGCACAAATGCCGTCTTTCTGTTCTTATCCAAATCAAGCCAAAAACAGCTTGATGCTTTTCATTCAGGTCTATCGTTTGGCACACGGCTAAAGGTAGTGATGGAACTGTCTCTCTTCTCCTCATCTTATATATAAAGCTGAATGTCTGTTTGTATGTTTGTCTGTATGTATGTACGTATGTTCCGAATAGAAATTTTTATTTTTGATCCGATCCGGACCAAACTTTGCACACATACACTTCGGGGCCGGGCGGGTGTCATAGGCTACTTTTCGTCATCGATCGATATCGATTTTATTGATTTTTCAAAAAGTTCGAGCTACGGGGCTGGGAGTTGGCACAGGGGGGGGGGGTAAGTGAGCATGCTGATTACGAATATATTATTGACAGGGCCGGGCGGAGCCGGATTTGCCAGCTAGTACGATCAATGTGACAATGTTTTGCATATGCAAGTGCAGCGTTAATCCTATAGATTGCAAGTGCGACATTTCAGACTGGGGCTTTGGGTCCGATCCCAATTGGAACAAACTGAATAGGATTGCTTTCGTGCAGTTTTAACCGCAAAGGCACTATCTTTACGTCAAATCGCCAGCCTATAAGCGAGTTCTATAGTCAGTACTTTACAACGGCAACAACATCGGCAACCCCGACAACCCTGGTGAGAGTTGCCGGCAACCTCTTGCCATCCCTTGAGCCTCGGTTATCTCTCGCTATCACGAAAAATCCTAATGAGGACTTGATATGTGAGTAATCCACCGCGGGCAGATTCTCAAATGCACGGGCATAGAGTTTTCATAAGCCGATAGCGTGTCAAACCATGCTCAAAGAGAGTGGGTTTACAGAATTGTGAATCATATGGCAATACTGAAATGCGGCCGAAATCGCACAAGGTGTTAGAGGGTTTGTGAACATATCCGACTATGACTTCAGCGGTTTTCTTCTTTCCCTTCTGACGTTTAGTGGTACCAATCTGTCAAGCCTTCGTCTAGCTGTTGTGTCGTCACTCTGCATTGCCTTACGGTCCCCTTATCTTGCTCTCTCTGGTGTGTCCTACGCCTGCTCCTTGAAAAATTGACGTAGGGTAAAGCTGTCTCATTTGAGTGAGTCTTTCACTATTTCACCATCTCAACAGCATTTAAATGACTCTAACTGCATGTTCTTGATGACTCCAACCGCATCTGAGTCCTGCTTCTTAGTTGGGATTTTGAAGCGTCAAAGCTAGGAGAAGAATTGAAGAGGTGGGCGCAAAGGAAGATGTTCCTGGTTTTCTTCTCGATTTCTTCAAAGTTATATATGCTCCACATGCAGCAAATTTCCTGCAGCTTAATTGCAGTTAGATTGCTCATCATTTTAATATCGCCACCCAGTTAGATGCAGTGGCATACCCGATTTCCATTTGAAGGGTGAGAGGGAACTCAGATAGAGGGGTGTGTCGTTAGCCACGCAGAAATTTTCTGGGATCCCTCCCAAAATTTCGTGGGACCGTAATCATGAAATGTTGGAAAGAAAGGCGTGGGTGAAGACACGCCCGAAAAATATTTTACACCAAGCTGTATTTCCTTGTCGATTGTTTCCACTTCGATGATGTCTTATATAACCTTTATGTTGTTCGCAAATTTGAATATTAACTTTTTAGTAAAGGCAAAAGGTCCTTTTCTTGCTTATGTACGGGTACAAGATCACTTTTAAGGCCTCATGCATTAACATCCCTGCAGGGGAGGCGATCGCAGCTCAAAGAAAGCTTTATATCCTGAAGCCTCAGATATCTGGATTTCACACTGTCTATCCATCCTAAATACTCAAACTATCTTTCCGTCGGGGATTATTATGTTTCCATACCACATTTTTTCTTATTTTATTGGTGGGTCTGAAGCTGCGGGTCTTGTTAACTACCATTTACTTTTGTTTTTTGAGGTTGCGGAGTGGCTGGACCCAAGCGCTGTTTGAATTCTTTTGTGATCTTTTTTTTTGATGCACCTCGCTGTGTAGTTATGAATGATTAAGTAAATAAATAAATAAGTCATCAAGGGATCACATAAAAAGCTAGGAAACGCCGTTTGTATTTGCACAGTTTCTCGCTCCTGTTCAATATATTATATATACTGAAGGATAGTAGGAATACTACGAAGAGGTAGGCAGCGTGAAGTCTAGATATCTGCTGGAGTTTCACCATACGAAGCTTTCTTCTAAGGGCCGCAAGCACAACATCCGAGGGGATCGCTGCTCAAAAGATAACTTCATATCTTGAAGCTCCACATGTCTGGATTTCACACCTCTACTTATCAGTAAGTATTCATACCGTCCTTCACTATGAACATAGTGAACAGAAGCGAGAAATTGTACAAGCCAGCATTTTGTATGATTCCCTGACGGCCCGCGGCGGCCGGCCATCTTATTTGAAATCATTTTTTCCTTCGTTAATGAAAACATTCCAATGTTGTACTGATTATCTAGCCCAATAGTGCTGAACATATTGCTGATGAGAACAAATGAGTTTCTGGAATACCGAAATTTTCGATAAACCTCAACTTTCCACCTGTGGTTAATCGACAATTATGACTTCAAAACATCATTTATTCTTATCAGCGACATGCTTTGCGCTGTTGGGTTAAACAAGCAATACAACTTTGGAATGTTTTCATTAACTTTGAAGACAAAAAATGGCTTTAAAGAAAAGACGGTCGGCCGGTGGGGATCGTCATTTATCACACAAAAGCTAGAAAATGCGGCTTGTACAGCTTCTCGCTCCTGTTCAATATGTTCATAGTGAAGGATAGTAGGAATATTGCGGACAGGTAGACAGCGTGGAATCTAGATATTTGGAACTTCAGAATATGAAGCTTTCTTCTGGGCTGCGATCCCCTCCCCAGCGGGATATAAGATGCGGCCCTCAGTCAGCAACCACCTCCCTATTCGCCACCTGAGGACTCCCTACAGTGGCCAGAGGACACCTTCGCGAAAGTAGTGTAAAACCGAAGGTCGCATAAGATCAAGCTGCTCGAGTCGGGTTCACTTCAAATAAGTGCGTTATGCACAGCAGAGCCTTCAATGAAATAAGGAGAGTATTTTTGCATTCTAGGCGTGCGCAATTGCAATCTCTAAAATAAATTTGTCTGCATTTATGGAGTTGACTGTAAGAAGAGTGAAACTACATAAGGCTTGATCTTCAACTGTTGCGGAAGAGGAATATTCTCTCGAAGTTAGGGAGCCCAACATAATTTACAAAACTTCGCCCACTCCTCCCATCCTGCGCTACATGCGTGACTCCCTCTGCCTCCTCAACAAATACTTCACTTTCTTAGTCTCGTCATCGATGAATACAACCGCAACGTAATTCCCGTTTAGATTTCATCTGGAAAGAAAGTAAGCGCTAGTTGTGAGAGATTGCCACCAGTCCGGACTACCCTTGATTACTTTTCACTACTTACTAGAACTCTCCAGACCAATTTGAACTTCTTACATCAATCTCTTTTTCATGCCTTTAGAGTTGCCGAGTACCCTTCGGATAGACGGCTAAAAAGATAAGAGGGTAATACGAATCTGAATCGTGACTCTCTAAGTAAGAAAGTAGTTCAATAAACAACATTTATAGCCAGGAAAGTTCGTTAAGAGAGTAGCTAGCTTGTTTGGCTCTTTATTGCAAGTAACTTTATAGGTCTAGCTGGCTTACCCGGCTCCGCCCGGCGCTGTCAATGCTATAATTAAGGTCTTTTTCCTATCCCTGTAAAATCTTTCATTGTGCCCCTTCTACATGCAATTTCCTATTCCCGCTGTGTTAGTAATTAGCGTACCCACCTACCTCCCTCAACAACCCCAGCCCCATAGCTCAAACTTTGCAAAAAAAATCGATAAAATCGATTAAAATAATGGACAATTTCAAGACCTAATATTGTAATCGTAATCAGCATGCTCGAATACCCCACTGTGCAACCCCCCAGCCCCGTAGGTTAAACTTTACAAATCGATAAAATCGATAAAATCGATAATCCTGAAAAGTAATATCGTATTCGGAATCCCCATACTCGATTACCCCCCCCCCCCCCGCCAACTCCCAGCCCCGTAGGTGAACTCTGCAAAAAATGGATAAAAAGCGATTAAATCGATATCGATCGATGACGAAAAGTAGCCTATGACACCCGCCGGGGCCCGAAGTGTATGTGTGCCAAGTTTGGTCCGGATTCAGAAACAAAAATTTCTATTCGGAACATACGTACATACAGACATACATACAGACAGATAGACATACAAACAGACATTTAGCTTTATATTAGGTTGGCACGAAAGTTCTGTCTCACCATTTTCGAAAATCCACAACTTCTGTTTTTTCCGACCGACTTGACTGCTCTTATTTTTATGTGAAAGAGTAAGTCATGCTCTTTATAATGGCATCTTAGCTGCTTGCTAGTGATCATCTGTTGCATAGATAGGAGCGATAAAAGAAAATTAGTCAAAATTCGAATTTTCTGTGTAGGGTCATGAAAAATCGGAAACTTGCAACAAAAATCGGAACAGTCAGTATTGTAGGTTCTTTCACCAGCTCTTTCTACCTGTGCAAAGTTTGCGCTGATTGAGCGTCTCTATGAAAAGTTATGATTTCCCTGAAAAATGCCAAATTAAATCAATTCCCTTTTGTGTTGCGTGCTCGAAAATCATAACTTTTCATAGAGACGCTCAATCAGCGCAAACTTTGCACAGTAGAAAGAGCTAGTGAAAAAACCTACAATACCGACGGCTCCGATTTTTGTTGCAAGTCTCCGATTTTTTATGACCCTACACAGAAAACTCGAATTTTCACTAATTTTCTTTTATCGCTCCTATCTGTGCAATAGATGATCATTAGCAAGCAGCTAAGATGTCATTATAAAGAGCATGACTTACTATTCCATACAAAAATAAAAACAGTCAATTCGGTTGGAAAAATCAGAAGTTATGAATTTTTGAAAATGGTGCGACAGAACTTTTATGCCAACCTAATATATAAGATTTGCTGAATCTGAAGATAGCACAAGTGAATCTAAACTCATTCAAGGCAGTTTCAGTAAGCATATTATTGTTGCCGTTATGCATAAAACTGCTAGTTATGTTATACAGAAATACCGAAAGGCAGCATACAACTACAAAACCTTAAAAGAGATTATGGGCTTTTTCGGAGAAAAAACAGAGTATTTATTCTTTTATACAGTTTCAAATGCTTACATCGATGTTTTCTTGGTATCCAGTCAACGTTTAACAAAAAGGCTTGTAGATTGTTTGCAGAGGAAATTGCAGGGAAGGTTATGTACAACGTTTTTTCGGCAATTTGCTTTCGCAGACCAACATCGCGCGACTTTTATCAACTTTGATGGAATGGTCTTATCTATGATAGGAACTGATGAAAAGGCAGTGATTTACAGTTCTACCTTCTACGCGGTTCTTGGTCCTAAACGTACCTTTTTACGTGCGTGCAAAATTTCAGTACTCAAGCATCTAAGCGGCTCTATAATTTTACAGACCAAACAAGCCCATGATTTGGGCAAGAAGAACCGCTTGCCGCGTATCAGTCTTGAAAAAATTGAGAGCTTGACTTGTTGGGTCTATTGTTGAGGGCAATATACAGATCCACGCGGAAATTTTAAAATAAAATCTTACCGTATGATTTACACTCCGTTTGGAGAAGCAAATCTCAACAAGGCTAGGTAAATTGTAGAACTGAAATTAGCTTACAATCAAATATCACTTCGCATCCCAAACCACCTCGGCCTCCCTTTGAAGACATTCTAAAGAGTAGTCGTCTTCGGGAAGCACGACGTATTTCCCATCTCTTAAGTAGTCAAGTACCTCAAAAAATGCAACTATATTATTATTTACTAAGCAGACAAAAAATTGGCGCACTTTTCCAAAGTGAGTCGGATTCCTGTCAATGAATAGTTCAACTTGTCTTTGCCAGCGACCAGCAACCAAAGCAGTGAACATCTATGGAAATTTGAATTGATAAGAGAAAAACAAGAAAAGAAAAAAAAGATGGACTCACACTATTATCAAATCTTGTGAGGGTGGAAAGTGAAGCTTCGAAAACGCTACCACCAACATTTATTTTCACACGCCCTCCAAAAGGCTGATCTCCAGCCTAAAAGCTCATGGCCACAAAAATTTTGTACACTGCTCTGATTTATAAGGCGAGTGATAAAGAACTGTTTGATTTTCCGATAGTTCGAGAATATTGAATCTCCATTGTTGGCAAGTACAAGGCGGGAAGATTGATAATTGTGGGACTGCCAAAATCAAAACTGACGAGAATTTGAATTATTTTGGCTATCACTCTGACAGACCAACGGCAGTTTTGCGAAGAGCTAATATCATCACTCAAAAAGGACGGCAAGGTGCAATAATATTTTTTCGCACATCGCACAGGCATGTATCATAGATGACTATTGATGATATACCTTCCCTTCTTAATATGATGCACAAAATTTCCATACTTCGTAAACAAAGTATTTGATCTTTTTTTATTTGAATATTCTAAAGAATGTGTCATCAATCCTCGTGCTCTGTCTCCTCTTCATTGGCTTTCATTCTGCATTGACTCACTCGCAAGGGCAAAGAAATGGGGAGATCAATGATCTGTTTTATGGTTTGAAGTAGGCAGAAAATTCAGAGTATCAGTCAGCTGAAAATTGCTATGAAAAACTAAAAGTTCAAAAAAGCTTGCGTTCCAGGGTGAGCTGAAATGTTCATATGTGTTAAATGTTTTAGACGTAAGACATTTTTGCAAGATAAACAATGGTTAGCTTACATTGTTTGAATGGTCGTCACAAGAGCGTGCGTCAGAACTCATGTTCGCTTCTTCTGTAATTTCGCTTGATAACTATATCTAAGTTGAACTCGTTTAAAAAAATCAGAAGCGAACAACATTTGAATATTCCAAGTACGAGAGAGAAGTAATAATGACCTCACAAAAAACAGCTTCTGCCTTCGCATAAGCGAAAATTGAACGTCGTGATCACTTCCGAAAGATGGCTATGTGTTTGAAGCACATTTGCAGAATTTAGGCATTGATATAGCGCAAACGGAAGATCGCTGATGAGAGCACTTGGGTTACGTCTAGCGGTTGAATTAGTGAACCGTGGTCGCTTTTTCTGCTATCGCTATCAGCGTTCGGCTGGTACTGCAGCGCTGTAAAATACACAGTGAGTGTAGTTTGATCTTCCTCACGACCATTGTTGCATGGACTGCTGAACCGCTTTAGAGCGTTGTTCATGTTTTAGGACATTCATAAATTAAAACTCAACACACTTCCTGTGAGCAAAAACTTCATGGTCTGCACATGGGAAAGTACCCGACGACTAATATGAAGAATATTGTTACAAATACTATGAGAGGAATGTGAGTCTGTTTGAAATTCTAGGTAGCATGATTGTTAACTGCAGTTGATCGTTTACTAAATTTTGACCTAGTAAAGCCTCATACACGAGCCGCGCTTTACAAGGATGCAACCATGATGCTCCAGAGTGAGCGGCCCTGTAACTCTCATAACCTCATTCGGATTAACTTCATCTGCATATAATAAAACCGAATGTCTGTTTGTCTGTATGTCTGTAAATCTGTGTGTACGTATGTTCCACGAAAAGGTTTATTTCTGAACCAATCCGGAACAAACTTGGCACACATACATTTCGGGAAGAGGGAGGGGGGAGTGGGGGGGGGGAGTCGTAGGCTACTTTTCGTCATTCATCGATATCGATTTTATCGATTTTTTGCAAGGTTCCACGTACGACGCTGGGAATTGACAAACGGGGTAAATGAGCACGCTGATTACGAAACTATTATCAACAGGGCCGGGCGGAGCCTGGTTTGCCAATCAGTTTCTAATAGCCCAGATTCGTCCTAAAGTAAGTATACATTCGTTGCAGCTTTTCACCAAATTCTTATAGAGTTATTTTTCAACCCCATTGTTAATAAGAGAATATATGCTTCATCTATTTCTAGAGTTTTCGATGTAAAAAATCAAATATGGAGCGCAGGTTACATCTGCTTGTTAGATGAAGTCAGCCACTCTCGTTACAAAAACCCCTGAAAAAACATACCCATACAGGCGAATATTTTTCGGAAGTGACATTGTACATTGAGCAGAAAATCTGCGCTGTTAGTGTTATTGTTTGACTGACCAATCAGCAGATAGGAACTCTTTCGGATTATTAAACTGCGTAAATCATTCCAACTTCAATAGCAGCACCAGCGATACGAGTTTTATCAGCAGCAACGGCAACCAGATGCGTCATCTACATATAGCCGAACCTTTATTTTATGTCATGTTCGAGTGGAGTAACATCAATAATCACTTCAAACGCAGCGAATAAGATGAGGAGTAAGCGCAAGGAAAACAATATATGAATGTAACAATTTAAATGCAAACGAACAACTTTTCACTTTTCTTTCTGCCATAGTGCCAGAGATTCTAGCAAAATGGCGCCAAAAAATATAAGAACTCCGAATAAATTCACATTTTCTTGCTTTCATCGAGTGTTGAGAAGCTCAACATTCTGGAAAGCGGCGATATATTTTTGAGATAGTTGAGTGGCTTCTAAGCAAGGGGCAATTTATTCAAATTTTCAAATAAAGGTAGCTTCAAATTCTTTTGATGTTTCAAATCCTTGCATGGCTGCCGAATTTATAAAAGCAGTTATGTGGCCCACAAATGCTCCGTAATGGACACCCAATTCCTTTTATATTAAGTTGATTCATGGTTTTGGCTTATCCTTATCATTGTAAGAAACTGGTACTTAGGAATTGCTGCTTTCTGAAGAACTTGAAGGATACAGCCAGGGTCAAGGAAGGGGTGTGGCACACGATCGCTGGTTACGACCCCCCTGATTGCTGTCTTAATAAGACCCCCCCCCCTAACCTATAAACCTAAGATAACATTACTTGAAGGCGCTGTCAAACACAATGGGCAACATATCCATAATTAGCATGTGGAATAACCCCTGTAGATAAAGTTTGAGCGAATTCTAAAGATTTAAGTTACTAGGCCACCTAAGTGAAATGGTCTTTTTCCAACATGACTAACCTTGTTTCGAAGGTTAATAGCTATCCGTTTTCGCACTCAAGACAAAGCACTACTCCTTCTTTGTCCACTTCAGGAATTCTGCTTCAGAAGACCTCCAAACTGTGGACTTAGAAGCCAATCAAAATCTCATTTTTCCCATTTTTTGCTTTTAATGGCTGTGCTTTCACCAACTATTACTCAGAGCAAAGAAAACGAATCAGGCTAAAATTACTCCTGTGAAAACTAGGAGATCTAGGTTATCGATCCATATACAGTGCTGGCCAAAACTATAGATCCACTATAAAAAACTGCCGTAGTTCATCTGCTTCTCAACGAATTGATCTGAGATTTGGTACAGTTGTGTGTTCAACAGGCATTCATCAGTGACCGGAGCGGATTCCGCTTTCGTTAGATTATTCAGGAAAAAAATTAAAAATTTCGAAAAAAGCAGGCTCGAAGGCTGGCCAAAACTATAGATCCACCTAAATTTTTTGTCTGCTAACGTGACTCTTAGCTTCCAAAATCTTTTGTGCATAAACCTAGTCGAAAGTCAAAGCAGTGGGTTTAGTTTAGCTGCGTCATACCTTTATAAGAAACTCTTATCTGCTTTTTTCCACTCAAAAACTGCTCTCATGCGTATTTTGTTCCCGAAAATGTGTTTTTGTAGAGGATCCCGCACTTTTTTGACTGGTTTGAAAGTGATAGGGCTCCATCTATCTTATAGATGCTTAGCAGCGTGAGCAGTAGAAAAAAATTCGGGTTTTCGTATCCAAAGCGCACCTGACACAGACATAACCGTAGGCCTGCGCTCGAATTTTTGCCTTCATGCTCTTTCTGCAACGTTGTCATGAGCGTGAACTGGAGTAGTTACATTGTTGGTATGTATGAGAGTCCGTGTGCAGTGGTTGCAGGTTTCTGCAGATCCTAGTATGCAAGCTAATTGAGGACTTCCTCCTGCAAAAAGTGATTTGCAACAAGCCTTGAAGTTATTTCTGCTTCTGACCATAATGCTCATGTGAATCACAAGACAACACATATTGCAGGGTGTATTCAATAGTTAGCAGCTAAAAAGTGGCAAAATTCAAAGAAGGTACCAGTTGGTAAGTACTTTGAGATTGCCGAACACACCGCAAGACTTATGCTTTGAAAAAGAATTAAAGTGCGACTTCGCAAGCAATTGTAACTATAGTTTACAAACTTCTTTTTAGGTGAATAATGCTAAATAATGCTTCTACATTATTTTGAGCTTATAAAAATAGCGGATACCAATTTTGAAGGCAAAAATTCGAGCGCAGGCCTACGGTTATGTCTGTGTCAGGTGCGCTTTGGATACGAAAACCCGAATTTTTTTCTACTGCTCACGCTGCTAAGCATCTATAAGATAGATGGAGCCCTACCACTTTCAAACCAGTCAAAAAAGTGCGGAACCCTCTACAAAAACACATTTTCGGGAACAAAATACGCATGAGAGCAGTTTTTGAGTGGAAAAAAGCAGATAAGAGTTTCTTATAAAGGTATGACGCAGCTAAACTAAACCCACTGCTTTGACTTTCGACTAGGTTTATGCACAAAAGATTTTGGAAGCTAAGAGTCACGTTAGCAGACAGAAATTTTAGGTGGATCTATAGTTTTGGCCAGCCTTCGAGCCTGCTTTTTTCGAAATTTTTAATTTTTTTCCTGAATAATCTAACGAAAGCGGAATCCGCTCCGGTCACTGATGAAAGCCTGTTGAACACACAACTGTACCAAATCTCAGATCAATTCGTTGAGAAGCAGATGAACTACGGCAGTTTTTTATAGTGGATCTATAGTTTTGGCCAGCACTGTATTAGGTTGTGTAATAAGTTCGTTCGCATTTTTTGTTTCAATTTTTTCTCGGTGTTTTACAAGACATTTGGCATAATGTTAGTATGCATTCGGAAGCTCTAAGTCTACTCTACCAAACTGTTATCATTATATTCACAGTTTATAAAAAGTTGAATAAAAAAATCGACTACAATCCGAAAAATCTGAAATGGCGAAAATCCCATTTTCGACAACTATATTATGCCGCACCTTGAATGGGTTTGAGCGCTTGAGAAACAGCTCAAAAATTTTGCGACATGTATAAATAGAATACTATAGCTCCCGCAGATTACCTGTAGAGCTAAAATCTTTTAAAAACAATTCATATTGTAAGCTCAAACATAGGTATGTTTTTATGGCTATTTTGGTGTCAACGTTAAGCATCTGAAGGCAGCTCTGAGGAAAGGTGGTAGCAGAACAATCCAGGAATTGGCAGACATGTGGTCTATGATCGCTAAATCATCGAATAAATGGCTTATATAGTCAAAAATTCAGAATTCGAGGGACACATAGCCCACGGACGCGAGACAACGAACACGCTGCGGCGAAGCCTTGCTACGCCGAGTTTTGCAAAAAATTGCATTAAACGGTCGGTGAAAGGAAATGGGCAATCGTAAATAGTATCAGTAAATGCGTAAATTGTTAGTCATTTGTTTTTCTTCGTTATCAAGCTTTTTGAATGAATTTCAACAAAGAATAACGGGAAAACTAAGGAAGAAAAAAGATGTCGAAAATGGGATTTTTGCCACTTCAGATTTTTCGGTTTGTAGTAGAATTTTTTTCTTCAAGTTTTGAAAAACTGAGAATATACTGAGAGTATTTTGGTAGAGCAAACTTAGAGCTTTCGAACGCATACTAACACTACGCCAAATGTTTTGCAAAATATTGAGAAAAAATCAAAACAAAAAATGCGAACGAACTTATTACACAACCTAATAAATACTGTCCGCTAAAATTGTTTTTTTGATATAGTTAATGGGGTGCGGCACACCCCCTTCAAAGCTGCGGCGGCCGCAGGATACGAATATCATGTTATCACTATTATCAGATTACCCAACTACGACCCCCTCCCCTTTTGACTCCTCAATACGACCCCCCAGGTGTGGCGTGCCGCACCCCACTCTTGACCCTGGATACAGCTGTCTATTGTGGTCAAGTTAAAAATGAAATGTAAGCAGAATGTTTTGTTGTCATGACATCGGTACCTAGAAAAAAACCTAGATGAAAAAAGCCAGTATTCAGATTATGTGTAGACATGCTTTTTCAATAAGCTATTCAATATTTCACTGTGTTTTCTTTACATGCTCCAAATATAAACAAGGATTCCTTAGGAGTTTTGACATGAAGTGTTGAATTTTGCAGGCAAA